TCAAAAGTAAATAATAGAAATACATGTATAAATAATAGTTGTGAAATTTTTCCTTTAAACATTTCGTTTTATATTCTGAATCCTATTCTTCTATATAGTAAATTTGCGACCAAAATAGATAGTAAATACCCTGCAGTAATGGTAAAATATTAATCCCATTTAGTCTAGTTATTGACCGCTCATTCCTACATAAGTCTCCTGAACAAATATACTCAAGTCAAAACAGAAAAAATCCATTACCTTAAATTAACGCCGTAAAGATGAGTGAATAAGTAACATATATTTAGTTCAAGACTTTTATCAAAAAGTCTTTCAAACAACACATACTGTAAGCCACTGGAATTTTACTAGAAATATAAACATGATTTACAAACGTAAATGTAAATTAGAAACACCTAAAACTGCTTTATGAAACCGGAAGTCCCTTATATACAACAAGGCAAGTCTCCAAATCTGAGCTGTCTGACCAGGCTTTATACTGTATGTAAGTCAATATCGGTTTGCGTTTTTAGGTTAGAAATCCCTTTAACTTCAAATTGACCGTAAAAAAGCCAAAGAATGGTATTTCAGTTACACAAATAGCATGTGTTTAAATGACCTTCTAATTTTATTTCAAGCAGGTAGCATCCTTCCTTATAATTGTCTATTCTTACAAATTAATGTCCAGAAGATACAGAAAACGTGAATAGGTTTGTTGTTGTTTTGATGGTTAAATACATTTATTACAACACTCGATGCTCATTCTAAAGAGCTGTAATATCGTATTTCATGAACAAAAGAAATAATAAAATAACTAAAGAACTATAAACTGATTTAGAAAGAATAGCTATGAGGAAAATCCTATTGTATTTCGTTTTATCGGGCGATGAAATAAAATGCCCTTTGTTGCCATATAACTTAATAACATAAAATAATATAATATACACATTAATTCACTTTCTATCAATGTAACGATTTTAGCTTTTCTTATAGAATGATAATAATCCTGGCGCATACTGTGCATTTTTAAATTTTTTATAAAGGTTATACATTAAGAAAATCTTGTAAACCACCATCAGATTAATAACCTTCAAAACTGAAAATTAACTTTGATATTTATAAAACATTCAAAGTTTTTGCTAAACTTATTCTAACTTATACACTTCATTATTATGCAATGCATTTTTTTTCGACGAAGACAATAAACCGTTCACAATGCAAGCATTATCGTTTTAGCATTTCCTACGTTAACAATCAGTTTGAATTGTTTCCAATATGCTTTGTTAAAAGTATTATACGTTTTAAATCAATTTTAAAAATTATCTATCATGTATACATTCAAACAAATTGATATGACTGTACCAAAGCTTCAGTATTTGAGATCGGGTCAATTGGAGTCTAAAACATTTATTGCCAGATAACTGATTTGTTGACGCTGAAACTGACTTCGGAAAATGTAATTTCAAAATTACAAGAAAGTATTGTTTTACGAATACGTTAATGTTTGTTCAGAAAATGATATGCTACAAAATCCCGATTATCGCACATGATCCTGCTGCAATTCTATACGGTTGATTTTTTACGATAAAAGACAAACATTTTTTGTTTCATTTTTTTTTTCACTTTTTCCTTTTTAAGTTTTGTCCTTGGTATGAAATAATATTTGCATTGTCTGCCGGTGCAAGTGGTGTACAATATCTGCAATCAATCAGAAAATACCATAGATGTCTAGCCATCAAATCCGTCCATGCAAAGGAGAAAAGGTCAAATCAATGTTCGTTTTGTTCATCGTTATTTACTAGACACACGAGTGCCAATAAAGAGTCTCGAAACGACGATTCATCTATTCAAATTTCGTTTTGAATGTGAAAGGACCTTGGTAATGTCACAATGGCACGAAATGCCATGCACTTAAAGCATAATTCATTGAAACATTTTTTAAAACCCATAAAAGTACATTACGTCTTTTATTTTCGATGTTTCATATGTTGATTTGCCTTTTTCAAAAAGACACTTTCTAAATTAAATATAAAAACAATACGGTTCTCAAGACAATATGCGAAAAGAAAATAATTTAATATTTGCCTTAGGAAAAAAAAATCCTATAAATTTAAAACAGGTTTTGAAATGGGGTTTTGGAAAACTGTCTAGAAAAAGCTATTTCATAGAAATTTGAATGTGACATATCTGTGTCTACCATGCCATAAAACATAAAAAAAATATCCCAAAGAAAATGAATGTGAGAATCTGAAACAAAACATGGACATAACTAAATAAAGTAGAATTTTTGAATTGTAGGTAACAATGAAAATACGCCGCTTTTCATGGAATGGCATTACTGTGTCACATTGAAGGTTCCATGATAACCGCAGTGTGAACACAGGTTCGAATGTTTCTAAACTAAAAATTTTACCATTTCATGTTTAAATGGTGAATTCTACTTAAGCCGGTGCTAGGGGCGTGGAAGGTAGTTTGACAGTACCGTCCATGAACAGGCTCAATCAAACCGAGCCTACAACATTTTCAATTTAGTCGTGTTTGGCTTTCTTTTGGTTTTTTATTTTCTCTGTTTTATTGCATACAATAAATTGTGTACTCTTGCGTGTAAAAGTATTCATGAAATAGGAGTATTCATGAAATAGGAGAATTCATTAAAATGAAAGATTCATCACAGTAGTAAATGTGTCCATTGTTCGACGCTGCAATCTGAATTTATTCATGAAACATAAGTCACAAGAAAGATTGTTTTCTCTAACACAAGAAATTATTCTCCGCAGACATAAAATGAAAAATAAATTTAACGAGAATATAAGATGATGATAGCTCGTGAAAATTCAGGCACGATAATGTATTATCTAATTTGAACTAAGTAGCCCAATTAAACAGCATATTTCAGCGAAATAAATTTTATTATACAAGTTGGGCGTTAAACAATTCTTTTTTGTTGAGGCGATACATTTATATAAATATGTTTTTGTTTTTATTAGTTATATGATTTTTCAAATCTTTTTATCCAATTGAAATCAACGTCCTAATTATCTTTACCAAAAATACAAAACGTTCCAAAGTTAATAAAATAATAAGTATCAAATAATATAATTGAACATTTTTCATTTCTTAAAAATGTATATTAACAACATTTGCACCTTTTAGACATACGTTTAATAGGTCGCGTGTATCAAATATTGCTCTTCTTTGTTGATATTTCTTTAATTTCATATTTTCGCATGTGATAATCATATGTTATTTCTAATCATTTAACATTTGCGTAAAGTATTTTTTTTGAAAATTATAACTAATTTCATTAAATGATTGTTTTTTGTTGTCTGTGTTTATGATAATAATTACATTTACATAAATATGTTCTTTCGTTCAGACTTCTTACGGACACACTTTACAACCTTTCTAAACAAATAGATACCTATGTCTAATTGAAGTAAATACATTTCAATACTCAATATCAACACTTTTACGATATGTGAAAATATAACGTATATTTTGCTGAATGCCTAATCCGTACATAACACATAAAAGTCTTTTGAACGGAGCATAAAAAAAGCCAGATGAATTGAATAGAATATAAATGTATATAATATTAATTATGAAAAAAGTGCGTTCACGAGCAATTATGTAGATATGTTCTAATGCTATTATAACAAACACATGGTCTTTTTTACTAATGCCTGTGTTCTCTTAAAATCATGGAAGAGAAAACGATAACGTAAATAGTTTTCTGTTATGACGTTGTAATACGATCGTAACAAGATGATATATAGATATATATATCCTTCTAGTTAACTTCTAACATATGTCTTACGAACAAAGAAAACAATAAGAAAATAAAGATTAAATGATTTTGAAAGGAATGCCCTAAATGCACTGACATACCAGGTGAAAGGAAAAGTGCCATAAGAACTAATTAGACATTTTGCTGTGACACAAAATATAAAAAAATGGTCTTTTTTTGCCTGAATCCAAAATAAACTATTTAATGGTCTAAATATCTGTCTTTATACGATACATTCACCCATTCTAGTTTTCTTTTCTTTTTTACGTTTCAATTTGTCGCCGAAGTTTTACAAAATGATATGTTTATAATCATTTTTCGTCTTCACTTTCAGTACATATGCACTGACAAATATCATGCATATTGATGTCCTAGGCGAATATCAATACATTTTGTTTTCTCTCAACTGGGTTACATTTTAAACAACAGCATTGTTCAGTTTCTAGGACTTGAGAGATTCTAGATATTAACGTCAGTGAGGAATATAAATCATGTCTTTTGTTGGTGTAAAAAAGCATGGACACAATTAAAACAAAAGAAATATATTTTCGGATTTGGTGCATAATCATGAACAATAATTATCTGTTGTTTGTAACGAAACTATTTTTGTCCAGGGATAAGCAAAATATAGAAAAAGAAAGAAAAATATAATTTTGAAAGATTTTGGAGCAATATTAAGAAAATGGTAGTTGCTCTATTCACACTACGTATTAATGGTTCTTTCTTTATTAGATACAAGTGAAAAATAATTTTCGAATTCGATGAATTTACAGTATAAAATAAGCTTAACAAGTTTAACAGCATCAATCTGCAGGTTCGTAATAGCATATTTGATTTACATGTATTTATGGTTAGTTCTTTCTTCGCGTCTTTAGGTTATAAATATTCACAACTCTTTTCAAACAAGAGTCACGCCGAAAGAGAGATAATCAGAAAATGACACATTGCCATTTAAGAATCTCATTGTGAAAAAATTAGCTCGAAAACACGCGTTATAGTCCATTTCTGATAAAGATTTATATTTGATCACGATTATTTTTTTCAATTGACGGTTTCCTTATGAAAATCAGGTCCATCAACATTGGAAAACAACAAAGATTGAGGTTTGGGGATACTTTGCGCAAGTGCACAATTAATTAGAAAATAACTGCTGCTTAAGATATGATAAATGTGTAAAGCGTCCAAATATATTTGGTTTTATCAAGTATCTATAATTACAAAAATCTAAACTTACGAGTTCCGTCGAATCTGGTTGCTATGGTATCCAAGAAAGTGTTCTGTGGTGCAAGTAGTCCTTTCTTCATTTTTAAATTATATCCAATTTTTATGAATTTCCACAGAATGCTCTCGAATCCACATCGATATAATGCATCACTCTGAATCCACATAAATATTTGCACAGAATTAACTACATAAAAAGGACAATTATGATCTTCCAAATGGTACAAATGGTATCATTAACATTAAAGCCCTCCGAGAGGTACCAATTATAGTTCTTTCATAGCCTCTGTAATTCCAACCAATTGCAGAAAGTAAACAACCATGGTGCAGACGACTCGAAAAATATAAAAATCATGCGATAGTCCGCGTGCCGTTCTTTGCTGTTACTTAGCCAGTCAATAAAATTTCCATGATAGACAATTCCACAATAAGGTAGGCTTTTAGACAAACTGTGTGTCTAGAGAATATTATATGTTGCAATGTAAAACCGCATTTTACTTTATTGTTATCCAAACCCCCTATATTAGACTGAAATCACGTCTACTTTATTTCTCAATACAGAAAACATGCGCGACCTTATAAGGTAAAACAATTCTGCCGACTCAACTTGATATTGTCTGTTGGAAACTATTCCAAAGCATTTTATCGTTTCATGGCGTTTTTTGTAACGGAATACCACTTGCAATGAAAATAGCAAAGTTCGTCTGCCCACGTTTTGTTATGCAATAGTTTGTCATATATTAAAAACAGACACCCACATTTCACATGATTAATTTAAGGAAAACTACCATTGAAGAAATTGTAGACTTATTGAGTTAATTAATGCCATACTTATATACTTATAAAATTATGAGCACCGGCAAAATGCATTATTGTTGGTCCAAATAGCAGAACTATAGCTACAAAACATTTAGACTTTTTAAAGCAATATATGCTTACGAACAGGTAGTTAACTATAGCTTTAAAACAAACAGAAACATTAAAACACTGTTGTTTTCTTAATATTCTCAAATCCAAAATAAAGGTAAATAAATACTTTACATATAAAAGTGATGACATATAACGGGGGTAGACAAACACAGAATCGAAAAACAGAATTTAATTCCTTATTCTCACAAGAACACATTTCATTTTAACCTCCAGAATCCATTTGTATATTTCCGACTGACATCTTTTATATTGCTCTTTAATACCATAGAATCCTGTTAACGTCATTCAAATCAGTCTCCAAACACAATTTATGCCAATAATTTGTCGCGATGAAGTGTAACTTTATTTCCCCATCTTTATTTCCTCCCCGTTATGGCAGATGTTATAGTCACATAGTTAAACTTTACGTTTTCTTTCAGTCTGTATCAGCAACTTTTTTCAGGAGGATTCTAGTGTCTTCAATTCGTAACATACAATGCTGCACGATGGAAACAAACTCCAATACTGTCATCAAGGCATGTCGCGTTCAACCGTTTATGGTGCGTACAGAAAGATATCGAATAAAATATCACTTTCTACAGACGCCATTTCTTACTCTATCGGCATTTTGTGGCATTCCTCTGGATACAACCTGTGGCGAAGCTTCTCGAACGCTCTGTAATGATACGGATACTTAAGATTAACAGAAATTCAAACAAGATGGTTATATACGTATTCTAAATTATACTAGATATTATTTTGGGCAATAATGTTTTACAATTGTGTAATTAAATAGTGCGTAAGTAAGTCTATCGGCCTAAATCAGCATTACTTTTTCATCACAACATGTTATTATAGCTCGGTCTCAAAGATCACATAGATATTTTGCCGTTAATGTAAAGAACAAAGCAGTTTCTTTTCCTTTGCTATCTTTTTCTAGATATTTACCAAAGATTTATCATAAAATTGAGAAGAAAATGAGAAGTATATTAATTTTGTTGCTACAGGAATATAATAACAATCAAGTTCACATGTAAATAGATATGCGTAAATATGTATGCGACCACATTCATAGAGCTATTCTTCTAAATTTAACACAATATATGGTCACTGTCCCTAACATTGTGTTACCAGTGATGAATTGATGGTTCTTTTTGTAAATTTAAAAATGGCATAGACATTTTAAGACATAAAAGTAAGTCTTCAACTGACTAAACGGATTTACGGCTGTTGAACTAGAGTCGGTATGTCAAGTATTCTCATTTCTGAAAATTTGGGCTGACTATCAATGCTCAAAAATGCGATAACATAAATTTCAGTAACAACAGATGTAGGTCAAATATGTATATCATTTGTATGACAGCAACATAGATAATGTCAATGCCAAAAACATCAATAAGAAATGTGTTACAGAATCCATGATATCCTTTTGGAACACTTTTACTAAAATAGATTCCTAATTGAAATCTTTCTCCAAATATAGAACATTGTCTGCCTAATTACGAGCGATTCTAAATCAATTAGCTCTACTATATAGAGAGAAGTTCCAAACTTAGAAGAACTTGTTCATGGTATTCTCTGATTATACAGCGCATTATATGTTTTCATTCAAGCCCTGGTAGTCTAAGGAAGAATTATTGACAAAATTATGTTCCTCTAATTAGATTTTAAGAGTAAATTCTTCCCTGTAAAATTTGATTTTGTCTTACAAAAACAAGTAGTTGATTACAAATGTATATATATACCATTGCATTGCAATAACCAACAATTTATTGAACATTTTTGTATACAGGTACGCTTCTTATGCCAATAAATAACTAAATCAAAACTTATTTTCAAAGCGACGACATGAATTGCTTGCACAAAGAAAAAGACAAAAAAGAAGGAAAGATAACTTCCGTGCATATTTTTATAACACGTTTGAAACATTCTCAAAATGCGTTATGCCGATCCGAGGGAATATAGTGAGTGAACATGTGAAATATGGTAAAAAATATCAACAAGGAAATGCGTCGTTCAATGAACTCAACCCCCACACGACCTAACAACAAGAACCAGCGCCAAGGATCCCAGGAAGACCCAAACAAAACAGGACAGTGCAAAAAAAAAAAGAAAAAAAATCATAAACATTTTCTAATCAACTTATGATGATCACCATTGTTACTTCCAATCTTTTGAAATATATTATCAATCCAGTTAAACTTGGCAATGAAAAATAAGCATAATATTACTTAAACTTAAATTTATAGAATTTTATAAGAATGATGGCTTTATGTTTTGATAATTGCCATATTGTTTTCTTTTTTTAACATTTGAAAAGTTTTATTATCTTCATTCGAAATTATTCCAGGTAGGACAAAATTCCTCCATTTTTTAAACATTTAAGCCTATAATCATTTTTGAGTAATGTTGAGATTCGAACATCTAACAAATCAGGCTCTCCAATATTTTTCAACTTTCTCTTTACTCCTTCTCACTAGTATGTATGTTTACATTTTTGCTTTAATTGTGCTGACATTTCATTCATTGGAGATTATTCGGATGAAATGAAAAATAGAGCATGTTATATCCTATAGATCTAGATTTACAAATTCAAGAAATAGTAGGCGTCACACAATAAGATATGCTTGTTCATGTTGTACTTCTAAATCATACCGTCTATTGAGTCGTAACCGTTTTAAACTTCGACTAAATAGCTGTATGATTTAAAGTTTAACAACTTCCAAAACATTAATGCATTTTTGTATCCATGCTATGAAAGATCGCTTTTAGGTTTCAGGTACGTACTTGAAATATTGACAATTTGATTTATTAGAAAATATCAAATTGAATATATTGAATCAACCGTTGCGCGTAAAATTCAAAATTAAAGTTTGTACATTTCTATTATTTAGAAATGTCAAAGAAAAATTCAAGACGTTCGCAGTTTCGAAGTAAGAAACCGCAACATCATCTGATTCCATTAATTTGGACCCTTCAGTTAATTATATATTAATTGCTCTTCATAACAAATCACCTGTTTACAAATACGTATGAATCATAAAATTGCTAAGTTAAAATACAAACAAAAATATCGTTCAATTACGCAGTTTCTAAAATAAAGTATATATTAATAATTAAAAGTTATATTCAATATACCTGTCACAAGAACTAAAGTGATGTTATCATTTCATTTTTAAAAAAAAAGGGTTTTATAAATTGAACTATTTGAATTATAAGAGATTGATCAGCTTAATGTCTAAAACAATGAGGTGTGCAGGTTTCCCATTAAATATGCATAACTTTATAGAAGCCTAGGTAATGAATCATCTTTAAAGTAAACAGTACAATGAATTGGCCTCCTACGCCGCCATGTTGAACAAAACGTAAGTCCCATGTGAATTATTGTGTAGTATCAAATAATGATCTGTAACAAAGAGTGCATTTTACGCATGCGTGATTGATAACTTTATCCTCGTCACCGGAAATACACTATAAATGAGCATTTAGTTTATTTGAAATTTTCTTTATTTCAAAGGAACTGATATTCAGTTAATGTGTGCATTAGTTCACCTATCATACTTCTCCACCTCAAATACTAGTACTGATAAATGTATGCAATAGGTAACTTATATTAATAATATATATTTTTTTCAACACAATATGGTCTTTTTTTATAAACTTTTACATTATATTTACTTACAGCATTGAACGAAATCATTATATTAAAGACATATGATTATTAAATCATATATCAGTTTGTATGTAATAATAAATAATAATAATTCAGCGACAAATGTATGACATTCAATAAGGTACTATATGAGTAAAAAAGAAAGGGGAAAAAAAGAGAAAAATATGAAAATGTATTCATTTTGTGAACAATTCATATTTTCATATTATTTAAAACGCAACAGTTGAAAACGCAATTACGTTCTTTATCCAATTTGATTAAATAAAAAAACTGAATCATTAGTTCTTGTCCATCAATAATTTCCAATCCTTTTAAATGAACTTTAAAATTAAAGGAAAACGATACTATAAAGTGATTGAATGTAGGTTCAATACTGACTTTATTGAACGAGTTCAATAAAATTTAGTTATGAAGGTACATTAATATAATATGCTATTTATCACAAACCGAAAATAAATGTTTTAACAGTAAAAATGATTGTTTTATTCGTTGAAACGGTAACAGTACATCTCCTAAATTAAGCGCGTCTTTGTAAGGCAAATGACGTGACGTTAAAATACAAAAATAAATGCACAGTTCTTCGGAGTCGCAAAGTCGGCACATGTATGTGATAAGTAAACAGAACAAAATTAATATCATTCAATGCAGACGTTCTTTTTCTTTCTTATTAAACGTTTCAATAAAATATATAAGAATAAAAACGTCACCACTTATTTCTCTAGTATCACAAATAACGGTTTTTCAGTACAGTAACACATACCTCTTTCATAAAGGTTTGAAACAACAAAAATTTAAGTACATCCGCACCAATTAAAATTCCAGATCAAAAAACGAAAAGGAATTACGTTTAAAGCAATAACACCAATTAAATTCCAAACATGTCACAAAAACACTCACACAGTTTACAATACCATTGTACAAACGCACACCGTGTAGACATAAATGACTGTAAACGAAAGTATAGAGCTTTTACAGAACAATAAAATAATCAACTGTACGGCGTTTCTCTGTAAGTTGACCTCCCGCTTGAGTAACATTGATTATTGAAATAAACGCTGGTTTTTATAAGATTTAAGCGATGATATCCGATGATATCCGATAACTCTAGCTGAATATTGGCGAAGGTTCCAAATCAAATCCAATAAAACACCAGTGACACACGATTTTGTCGCCTGGATTCAAAATTGAATTTAAAATGCTCGAAGAATACAAACAGAAACGGATTTAAACTGATTTATTTCTGAAGCATGAAAGCTTCTGTGCAAAAAAAAAAAAAACAACACACAACACTAAACAGAAAATGGTGTGTCTTTTCTGATTTTACGATGCAAATAAGGAATTACTTACTCTTGACGATACCGTATACTCAAATTTGATGAATAATTTTAGTAATTGCTGCTAACATGTTTCTACTAGTTTATATGTTATGAAATAAAAATGCCAGGACTTTTTTGTGTATTACAAATTTCAATTTTCTGTTTTAATGTCTCTTTTTTGTATTCATTTGGTTCTTGCAGAATGCTCATCACATATTAATAAAAAGATATATCAGCAATTCATTGTGCTTTCTTAAAAGAGGGAACGTAGCTGTAGGAAGCATAATTACACAACTTTATCCTCTTGTTGCTTAGGGGTGTTGTCATAAAGAGTTGAGGCATCAGAATTGCAACCACCGTTTGATCGTATGAGTAGACTTAATTAATGGGTTCGAAATGCATCTTTAAGCTCCAGCAGGTAAGGTAGTTTTGACCCATGGTGTTGCTTTAATTGAAACACTCGAGGTTAACCAAAATCATCTTCACTGTTTCGGCGCTATATGACCTAAATTGTGTTGGTGCCGTAATTGTGTTGGTGCGCCGTAACAACTAAACTAAACAAAATTACACCAATTTATATATTTATATATAAGAACAATAACTACTTGTTAAGAGACCACCATCATAGTTCAAACTTTGAAAAGAGCAATCTAAATAATGACTAGAAAAATTGCTGTTAGTTTTAAA